TGTGTATAGTTTTTTTTATTTTTGTTAAAACAATAAAATCACTCGCAAATGAATATTTCAGTCATTTAAAAATTTCAGTTAAAATTAACGATTTTACATGGTTTGGTGTTATAAATTTTTGATAAAAATATTTTCTGGTAATAATAACCCAATAAAAAATCAATGTGGATTTAATTGTTAATAAAGAATTTTTTTTTCTCCAAACATTTAACTTCACAGTAAAACATAGGAACTCAATAGAAGCCATTTTCAACGGGATAAACGCCCTTCTGCTCCCACGGTCCCACCCAATCCTTCTCCCCTCCAATAAGACAGACCTCATTCTGAGTTCACCAGCAAAAGATATATTTCTTCTATATATCCAACCTTCAAACCAGAGAAACACTTAACCATTAACCAGCCATAAAGCAAATGCAGACCCTTTCGAGAATTGGTTTCTTAACTAACAATACCCACTATTTTCACTTTCCAAGACTCCCTCCAATCTCTCACTCCCAGAACCAACTTTCCAAGAAATCTTCCACGTTCTTTGCATTAAGAACAAGCGCTCGTCCAGGTTACCCACTTTCTCAAATTTCATTTCGGTGTGTGTAAAATCACGGCTTTCATACTTTTTAGGGAGTACCCATAACAGTGATGTTCTCTTTCTTGAGTTTCAGTTAGTGAAGTTGCAGAAGATGAAGTTTTGCAAATGTTCCTCAAGGAAAGAGAGTTGAATGGAGATTTTATTTCCAAAGCTTCTGATTTACTTTGGCAAAGAGAGGTTGCCAAATTTGTTGACGCTGATACTGTGTATGTGGCTAACTCCCCTCAGCAATCAGACCAGGTTTAATGAATTTTAAATCTTCTTAATGATGGATTTATGATGTGTTCTGTGATAGGTCGCATGTTTCTCTTGATTTATCAAATGCTTTATATGGGAATGTTACCAAAGTTGGATTGAGGTGTGGCGTTTGTCTTGTTCTTTCTTCTTTTGGGTTAAGATTTTTGTATGAATTAACAATTCTATCATGTTCATTGCAAAATTTTGATTCATCATAATAGTTTTGTCTAGGTTTTTTAATTTATTTATAGTACTATTATTACTGCAAACAAGATATTGACTCTGAGAATTTTAATATAATTTTCAGTAAGAATATACAGTATAGGTGTATATTTTAGNGCGTACCTCTCCTTCATAGACCTCTTTATTTTCCTTGATACGTAGACCAATAGCCCTTCGGAAATGTTCCATCAAAACCTCAGTTTTCTTTACTTCTGATGAGTATACTTCTGAACCAACCATTGGGCAAAATGGAACCTGCCAAAAAGTAGTAAAATGTACATTTTTTTTATACGGATGAAGGCCCATCAATGTTGTTAATATCAAAAGCAATCATCCACCAGAAGAAACAGGCACAAGAACAAAAGATTTCGATTAGGAACATCAAAACGCAAAAAATACATTAACAGATGTGAAAATAGCAAGAGTACCTTGCTCCCAAGCTCCTGACAGATTCCGAGGGCCAGCGCAGTCTTCCCAGTGCCAGGAGGACCAGCCAGTAAGAGTGCACGACCAGCCATCTTCTTCTGCCTAATCATATCAACAACAAGACCAGTAGCTTCTCTTGCATCCACCTGACCCACGAAGCCAGCAGCCAAAGATATTGCAGTTCCATTTGGCTACCAAATAAAAAATAAAAAAATTAATTGCATCAAAAAATTCACAAACATTTACCAATTAGTCCAATGTAGATCAGTCTAGCCAACCATTTACTATCAAATAAACAGATAAACCAAAAGTGACCATTGTAAAATTGATATGTGTCAACTCAAAGAAATTGGCATTACTAACCTGTCAACTTTCTTAGGTTTAACACTTCAAATTATGCTAAAACCTTATGCTTTACCCAAATTCTAGAAACTTTAAAAAACATGAATAAAAAGTATAATAAACACAAGCCAATTTCCTGATCTGTAACTTTGATAACAAAAATACAGATATAATAAACACAACCCAAAGCCAGCTAGAATTCAAACACAAAACATGGATGCTAAAAACAAAAACGAAAATAAAATTCCGTACACAGCATAAACCCTAAACCTAAACCTAAGAGAAAAAAAATTTTTGAAACTTCACGGCAAAGAGAGCATACAGTTGAAAGCAGCGGAAGCTAGAACAAAAATAGAAGTTTTCTTATATTTAAGAGGCAGAGGAGAGAAGAGAAAGAAAAGGACCTCAAGACCAAGGCTTTATGTGAGTGTGGGATGCGACTCGCTGCTTCTTGGCAGTAGATTGAACTTCCTATTTTCATTTTGTCCATGATTTTTGTTTCTTCCTCTCCTTGTGATTTTTAGTTCTTGTATTTTGGTTTGCAGAAACTGGTTGCTGCTACTGTTTCGGGTTCTAGTGGAATACCGGCTTAAATAAAATAGGAGACCGACGTTTCCCACCCAAGTGTTGGCCTAAAGACTTTCCTGTCCGAAAAGTTTCAAAACGACACTTTCCCACCCAAGGGCATGGCAAGATCAAATCACTTCTCTTTTTATTTTAAAGACAAATACCCTTTATCTCATCATCTTCTCTTTTATTCTTTCTCCTCCGCCCGCCACTTATCTTCTCCTTTCTTCTTCTTCTTCACCTTCGGAGAGTATTCAGAGACGTGATGATTTTCTCCATTTCCTCATCAATCGATAACTCCTGTGAACAACAATCGAAACTGCAAAATGCTTTCTCGCCTCAGCAATAAAACCAGAGTCTTTACCATAAATTTTCCAGCGAAGGTGCATCCACAATTAATAAACAGGCTATTAGCTGTGATTGGAGCATACCTGTATATGTAAATGTCTTACGCTCCAATTCCTTGCGGAAAGTGTAGCAGAAGCTCAAGAAATCGACAGAAGGATACGGGGCGGTTGAGCTCTTCACGCCTTCAGTTTCCTTCACTTCACGTCTTCTCCCTTGCAATGTTGTTCATCAACTCAATAGAGTGACCTTCCAAAATGCAGTCCCCAATATATGAGTTGTTTTAAGGTTGGGACCATGAGTTATTACACGGGATAATCCTCAGAAAGCTCAATCTCACTTCCTAGAGGGCTTCGATAAATCCATGGCCAAGCCACTGATACAAACATCGAATCTGGTTTTCACATGCGAACAATTGTTTAAATTTAAGCTTCCTCCAATCAGCAGAGGAGAACTTGCCTGGGGGGCTAATTTTTTCCAAACCAGAACTCCCGAACTCAATCGGGGCTGTGGTTAGTTTAACAGATTTGATATGTGAACAAAAATCCGTTCCTGAAAGGCTTCAATAAACCTGGCCATACATCATAATCTGCCCCAAAATTTTCATCTACAAAAGTCCATTGTTTACTTTTGTCAATCACATTCCTAACTATTAAATGCTTCTTGAAAAACTCTGATAAACTATTTCTTTCATATCTAGCATTCATAGGATAGTAATACCATATCATTATAAACATTTAAAATTGATTTACCCAAAAAAAAAAAAAAAAAAAAAATCAATTGTCAAGGTCCTTTTATTCCTTGCACAACAAAATTTGTGTCACCCCTTCAAATATGTAACGTCTTTAAATTGATCGATTTGAAAATAAAAAGGGTTATTATCAGTCAGTTTGATATTTTTATCAAAATGTTAACTTTTTAACTTTGAGTTAACGACTTTTTTCCACCCAAATAAGATGTAATGACACTTTTTCATCCATAACTTTTAAATATTATTTTATTATCCAAATTTATATTCCGACAGCGAACAGAAAGCAAACCGGTTCGACTGTTGGAGCTTTTGAAAATGAAGGTTGATGAGTCTTTTATGTGGAAAGTTAATTTGAGTTTGAAATTGATCAAAATTTGACTTGGAAGAGGTGGCTATGCAACTCTAATCGCTCGATTGTCGACGATTGGTGGGGTCGGTGACAGTAGGTTTGGGGATTTTATGAGTGATAATCGAAGAAGAGAATTGTGGTGGTTTGGGGTTGTAACAATGCCGGAAAAGAAATAAAATAAATTGAGAAATAAAATAGTATTTTAGAAGTCTATGGGTGGAAAATGTATTTAAGCCATTATTTTGGTGAGAAAAAGTTGTTTACTCTTTAACTTTATTAAGGTATTAAATTAATTTTATGTGTAATATAGTTTAATATAATAATGTTTTTAAAACTACAATAATTTGAGAAAAACATATCATAAGAAAATGACTTGTGTCAAAATAAGTAAAAAAAATCATGAAATTTTTTTTAATATAAATTGCTTTATTTCTTAATTTGTATAGTTATATAATTTATTTTCGGAGAGTGTGTTTAGTTTTTTTTTTATTTTTGTTAAAACAATAAAATCACTCGCAAATGAATATTTCAGTCATTTAAAAATTTCAGTTAAAATTAACGATTTTACATGTTTGGTGTTATAAATTTTTGATAAAAATATTTTCTGGTTAATAAAACCCAATAAAATAAAGTAGATCTCTGTTTGGTTCACAATTTTATGTTTTTGGGAAAGTTTTTTGAAAAAAGTTAAAAAAAAAGTTGATTGGGCGGGTATTACGATGTGATTTACAAATTATAAAATACCCCCTATGTTTGTTTTTTACAAAACACCCCTTATAAAAAACATTAAAAGTTAACAACACTCCAATCCACCCTCAAAAATACGGACAGCCGGCCACCACCGCCGGAGGGTGGCCGGAGTCGCCGTAACAAAAACATTAAAAATATTTAGGAGTATTTAATTGAATTAACAAATTTAGGGGGTTTAAAAAATGTTGAATAAAGTTGAATAATATTGTAAGTTTTTAGGTATTTTACTGTTTAACTTTTTTGGGAATACTAAAAGTAGTATCCCCAAAATCCAACCAAACGATTTTTTTTTTCTCCAAACATTTAACTTCACAGTAAAACACAGGAACTCAATAGGAGCTACTTTCAACGGGATAAACGCCCTTCTGCTCCCACGGTCCCACCCAATCCTTCTCCCCTCCAATAAGACAGACCTCATTCTGAGTTCACCAACAAAAGATATATTTCTTCTATATATCCAACCTTCAAACCAGAGAAACACTTAACCATTAACCAGCCATAAAGCAAATGCAGACCCTTTCGAGAATTGGTTTCTTAACTAACAATACCCACTATTTTCACTTTCCAAGACTCCCTCCAATCTCTCACTCCCAGAACCAACTTTCCAAGAAATCTTCCACGTTCTTTGCATTAAGAACAAGCGCTCGTCCAGGTTACCCACTTTCTCAAATTTCATTTCGGTGTGTGTAAAATCACGGCTTTCATACTTTTTAGGGAGTACCCATAACAGTGATGTTCTCTTTCTTGAGTTTCAGTTAGTGAAGTTGCAGAAGATGAAGTTTTGCAAATGTTCCTCAAGGAAAGAGAGTTGAATGGAGATTTTATTTCCAAAGCTTCTGATTTACTTTGGCAAAGAGAGGTTGCCAAATTTGTTGATGCTGATACTGTGTATGTGGCTAACTCCCCTCAGCAATCAGACCAGGTTTAATGAATTTTAAATCATCTTAATGATGGATTTATGATGTGTTCTGTGATATGTCGCATGTTTCTCTTGATTTATCAAATGCTTTATATGGGAATGTTACCAAGGTTGGATTGAGGCGTGGCGTTTGTCTTGTTCTTTTTTCTTTTGGGTTAAGATGTTTGTATGAATTAACGATTCTATCATGTTCATTGCAAAATTTTGATTCATCATAATAGTTTTGTCTAGGTTTTTTAATTTATTTATAGTACTATTATTACTGCAAACAAGATATTGACTCTGAGAATTTTACCATAATTTTCAGTAAGAATATACAGTATAGGTGTATATTTTAGGCAAGGTGATCCATTGGACATCTTTCTAATACTACTTTTCACTCCTAGAGTCGCTTTAAGATTTCTGGGTACTTATGGCTAACAGTGGAGCAGTGAGCAGTTTCGATAACAGTCTTCCTTTTTTTATGTTATTTATAAATCTCGTATGCTGAATTATCAGACTGTATGTGAGTGCTTGAAGTGAGGTTCTTCATTTAAAATAGCTTCAGACTTAGGCTGTGTGAACATGCATAGCCAAGGAGGAACCTTATGTTCTTTGAATGGGGAAAACTGCTTCATTTAACCATTTGAAGAATCAGATACTTTTTTATTCATCTGATCTTTCATATTTTTAGCATTACACCATGGCTCAACTCCATTCTTGATTAATTTTATAAATTCAAAAGTAGAGACCTGTTTCTTTAGTACTTTGTGATAGTCTCTCTTTGCAAGGTCATTAATTTAATGGTGAAAACCATTGTATATGTTTCTGTTTATTCTGTTCTGGGTAACCAAGCTAATTTTATTTGCTTGTACTTGTATTGATGGTCCTAACGTATGTAGGTCATGGAAAGTGATAATGATGATGGGTTTTTGAAACTGTCAAAAACCCGTGAATGGCTATTAGGTGACAACTCTGCTCCAATTAATAAGAAACCCAGTGCTAAGGTAAGTGTATTTGCTGGCTATCATTATATTATAATAGGCTTGCTCTTTAAATTCCTCCCTCCCCGCTTAAGAAGAGAAGGGAAATTTTTTTTTAAAGAAATGACAGATGGTTTGCTTCTGAGCAAAAAAAAAAAAATCTCCTTTTTCATGTTACTAATTCATACATGTAAATACAGGCTTTGCAGGATGACAGTGAAAGAAGGAAGAAACTGAACCTTCTTGAATATGGAGCTGTATGATACTTCTCTTGAAATTAGTATTTTTTCATAGTTTGTTGGTTATTGATATAAGTGAATTCCTGAAGTTGGGATCTGTATATTTAGTTGTAACTCCAATATTCTGTGAATTTTTTTTTGGCCAGCAAATTTTTTCTTTACATTGTTATTATTTGCTATATTCTAAGATTTGACCAATAATTTATATGGCGTAAAATTGGTTTAAATGATGACAACTTTTTCCTTATCTAGTTAGCATATATGAGATTTTTGTTATACATTTTATCATTGGGTCCTATTTCCTGATAAAGGTTATTTGTACATTTTTCTGTTGGCATATGATGCTTTTAGAGCATGTCTTGCAATTTTTATTGTAAGATTCTAACATGGAAATCTTCTTGTTATCCTCAGAAAATGTAAGTGTTGTTTGGTGCCCATATTATGGGTCATTGTCATAGAAAGTGGGAACATTACAGAATATATAATATTAACTTAGAGAAGCGGCATGATGAGTGGAAAAAAATAATTTGGAGGAACATAATTGAGGCAGTAAGGGATTTGCTTATTCTGCATAATTCAACTAAAAATAAACCTGATGGACTATGATCAGTTATGAAGAGCTTTTTATTCCACTGGCCCGGAAACAGTTGTGTGAATTACCTTTTGCCATTCCAAATTGCTTGCCGTGCCCATTTTCAATCGCAACTATTATGACTTTTGTTGCCATCTTCTTAATGATCTTGGTGGTTTCTTTTGTTGTAGCGGAATTTAATTGCTGTCTTCCTTTTCTTTTTCCTGTTTCTTTTTCCTGTTTCTTTTGGTTGTGGGGAGCTATTTTTCCCAGATACGTGATCCCGAACCATATCTGATTGATCAGCTTATTTGCTAAACTGGAGATCAAAGTTGCTTTTGTGTCAAAATATATTCACTTCTGGTAGACAATATTTTTCATTTTACTTGTAGCATGGAACCTTTCCCTTTTATTTAATAAAGTAGTATTTCTAGGACTGCTTATATTGATGTATATTCAAGAAGTTTCAAATGGATTAGATTGTTGTTGAGAGCTGTGGACTTCCAGATACCGACTTCATTTCTGCTTCGTGCTTTTAAACTGTATGTGCGCAATTGTTTCCAAAGAATTTCTTATCAAAACAAGAAATTGTTTCCCTAGTAACTGGAATAGATTTCTTAGATTGGGTTTAGTTTTATAGTAAGTAATTAATTGTCCTTAAAAATAACGTTGCTGACCAGGTTTTGGTTTCTATACGATTTTATTTATATTGTTTTTCTTGAAATTTTGCTCCTCAATTACAAGTTAAATCGACATTAACTTTTTATTTGATTTTTATCTCGCAGCTCAAAAGGGAACTTATGCTTTTGTCAGTTAGCATTGGAACTGCATGTAGTGGGTATTGTGTGTTAGCTTTATCAGTTCAGGTAAATTTTTCACAGCAAATCTAAGCACCAGTATTTAAAGTTAAATAAATTATGGATATCAAAACTTTCTGTGGCTTCTGTAATTGAATGTTGTGCCCTGTTTATTGCTTAAAATATGAGAATGGATTTGGATATAAGGATTAATCTTTTCTGTTGTAAGATTCCTTTATTTCTTCATTATATGACTGTGTTTATGGCAACTGAACAGGGAACTTATTTTTCCTATTTCTACTTCACAAAATAGCATTCATATTTTTCGTACGTATACATGATGAAAATGGTAGTTCTGTTGCCCAGTTGCTTAACAGAAACGTTCTTATCTAATTTTTTTAATCTACATTGGTAATACCCAAATTTGTAAAGCATAACAATAAATTTATTCGTTAAAAAAAAAAAAAGAATTCATATAATGGTAGGAGGAAAAAAAATAATTGAGATGATTATTGTTTTTTAATTATATAATTGGTTTCATGTTTCCTTTGGAGATTTAGTATAAAAATATATTTGTCTTCTCTAGGTCACACGCACAAGTAAAGAATCATTTACTTTGGACAGACTTGAAAGAAATAGTTCTCCAAAGAAAAAGTTTGAATCAAGAAAACCTAAGAATTTGGTTATGGATTTGATGATAATTAATGGGAGGGAATTATGTTGAGGTGATTAAAGATACCATATGTAGATACTAGAAGAAAATTTTCTCAGAGGAGTAAATGACATATATCTTGTTCTAGTGAAGTTTCCAAACCAAAAATCCTCTGAAATAAGTTTTATTTTGAAGCATTTCAAGTCTGCTAAACAGTGTTCGACACAAACGTTGTCTCGTTAAAGTTCGTAATAAATTCTATAAAATTCCAAAAATCACAATATGAAGCAATAAATTCTATAAATTCCAAAATCACAATATTTAAAATTTGGGTGCTATTTGAAACAAGAAAATATTAAGCCTCACATTACCACCTTTAAAATTACATTAAAATTTGATTTTGTTGACTTTTAACATAAAACAAAAATTTGCTATAATTCTTGATATTTCTAGTTTAATATATCAAAATGCCATAGGCCAAAGCAAGCTAAATTAAAATACAACAGGGTCATAAAAATCCTTTGTAAATTCTAGATTCTTTCATTACTTATATAAGGTATCCTTTAATAGCCTCAATGTAATTCTCTAAGTTAATTATCATCAAATCAATCAAAAAAATATAACAAAACTTTTATAGAATACATACCTCCAAAAATTTGGGCTATTACAACATCACTGTGTTAGTTGTCCACCAAGATTATTGGATGTTCTCATAAATTTCTCAATATGGATGCCCCGGGGACATCTTCTGTCAAACCAGTCAGGGGCCAGTCAAATATTCTTGGCATAGATGACAACTGTTTTTTTCTATTGGGAGGATTATAATGGGTCTAAGGGCTACTAAAAGAGCTCAATGTTCTTAATGATAATATTGCTCATTTTCTGGTTCAAGGAAGTGAAAATTCAAATATTTTTCATGACATTTTGCTGTCCTTGTTACTGATGCTAATTCTTGTGTTCTAACCAACTTCATTTCCAGTGCAGTTGCTTATACCTTCAGCTCTTATACCAACATGCAGACAGTCTGTCTAAGGAAATGGTTCCTCAGATTTTCATGCAAAAGAAGTCCAAGAAGTATAGCTAAAATCTTCTGCCTTCATCGATTCTTTTGTTAGACAGTTGTTGGCTCTCTCTTATGTAAACATCATTTATTGTTCTTTCTTAGAATTGGAATACGAAGTGAGGACCTTCAGAACTTCTTAGAAAGAACAATTAAGGGAAGTGGTGTTGCTCTTTCATCACCAAGGCTTGTGATCCCAGCTACAATATATGGGTTGTGGGTTCTGTCTCATCGGTATTTTGCAAATGACTTTTTTGATTTCCAGGTAGCAATTTTATGCACATCCTCAAACCTCAAAAGATAGAATGCGTGCTTATTCATTTTTAGCATTAATTCCTGTCATTTTGCAGCTTGTTCCAGCCATGGTCGGGATGTTTGTGTATAAGGCAGCTGCTCTTGTTCAAGTTTACAGAGACAATGAAGACTTGCAATTTATCTTTCCAGAAAATGAAGGAGGCTCAAGAGACTGAAATTTTTCATGTTAGTATTTTAATGTGGTACTTCACGCTCATTTGTTAAATTTTTTTAGTGCAGAATTGGAGGTACTTATAAATTCAGCTTCCTTTTTCTGGGGATACATCTATTGTATTGATAAAGAAAATTGAAGTGAGAAAAGGATCCAAAATCTCAGTGGATTTCCCGGTCTCCTGAGCAGCTATATGCAAACTCAGCTGGTTCAAGTTTAACTTCTGAGATCTATAGGCAACTATTAGGCATCTTATACTTTGTTAGAAGCCAGTAAGCATGCTTCCAAGCCCCATTCATGTGTAAACCGTGTTTTAATTGCAGTAAGATTTATTGTGTAAAAAAATGTTATGAGCCATCTAATTTTGTAATATATCAATCCTTTTACCATACTGTTTTGATGTATCATGGAAGCTTTTGCGAAGCTAAAGTGGGTTTCTTTTGTTGTTTTGGCTTGGTCAAGCTGCCATATTTTGTTCCAAGTGTTCTCAATTCTTTCTCAGAATGACTCAGTTTTTGGTACGTATTATGCCAATCAGGACTAAAACTCAAATTTCTGGCAACTTTGGAAATGCCCACCAACCTTTAAATGAGCTTTTGAGGCTTTTGCATTTCAATGGAAACCATGGAGGTGGGTGATTAATTTATCTAAAATTTTAGTAAAATCCAAAGCTCCACTTACAATATCTAAAACTGTTTAACATACTTGTTATGCAATTAGGAATAAACGGCAAGAAGAAGAGACCAATCAATATATAGTTCAAAATCAGGACGGCCTTCAGCTTCACATTTCAACAGCAAAAGTATAATATGTGCTTTATGAAAATCTAAAATCACATCTACCATATAGATAATAGAATTTATATAAAAAATAAAAATAATTAGGATCTAAACTAAAATAATAAATAAAGCGAATCTAGTGAGTCTCCCAATCCAACCTTACCTACGGTCTGTCCTTGCTAAGAGCATTAAACACTCACTCTCTTTATTTATTATTATTAATAATAATAATCTCCAGATCAAACCCAGACATTTTTTTATTTTTTTCATTATTTATTCAAACAAAAACAATCACACCCAAACCCTAGATCCAACTCTTCATCAATGGCTCTATCCAAAGCTCGCTACCGCGACGTGCTCGACTCCATGTACTCCATGCTGGCGCTAGTCTTCGTCCTCGTTGCCTGTGTCGAGCTTTGCGACGCCGCCACCGTCGTCGACGTCTACCGTCTTATTCAGTATGATATTTCCGGCGTTCCCTTCGGATCTCGTTTGGCCACTCTCAACCACCACGCCGGTTCTCTTCATTTCTCGCCCGGCACGGATCTGTCTCGGACCGTCGTCATGATCCCGGTCCGTGGATTGAATATCACCTTTGTCAGAGGTAATTGTCGGCTTTTGAAGTTTGTCAGTAGTCTATAAGATTGGGAAGTGTTGATTTTTTGTGTTTTGAAAAATTTGTTGCAGAGTTTATTTCTCAGAAGAAGACGCTTGGAGGATTGTTGTTTTTGCTTCCTGAGATGTTTGGAATTGAAAATGGAGATGGTGGAGGTACTAGAGATGATGTTAATGCAAAGGGGTTAATAAAGAATCTTTTGGAGGAACTTGAACGGTTACTTATACATTTCAAAATGCCTGTGAGTAACTTATATTAATTTCAATTTCTTTTACCTGAGTCCTGAAATGTATTAGTCAACTTTTGTACTTCTACTTTTGACTATAGCTATAGCAATAGCAGGACTGGTAGTAGTGTTAGAATCTGAAGTTGCATAATTTCCAAGAACTTTCATCCAAATCTTAGTAATGATCGTGATGCTTGTAAGCTTGTTTTAATATTGAAATTATCTTGTTAATATTGCCCTTTGCTTAAACTATATCTAATTTTTTCTGTGGCTATTTCCTGACTAGAAGTCCAGAAAATGTTATAGTGGTATATCTGTACTGTTATTTTATTTATTATGTACTTTTTTGTGTGTGTTTTTCTTCTTGCCTTTTCATGTTTTATAGATTTTCTTTTGTTCCTTTTTCTTAGGACGTCAGTTTTGTAAGTCCACACCTTAATGCTAGAATGTTTCAATACAGTATCCAGTGTATTTTGCGTTCGAGAATGATGAAATTGAAGCCGTGTTGGATGATGTCAAGAAGAATGATGCCACTGGTCAATCTGCCACTGCAACTACAGGAGGGTCAGTTGATAATTTTGTGATAAATTTTGGAATACTAATGAATTTTTTTATATCCTCTGGACAGTTAATGCTAGAGTAAAATATGGTTTTTTTTTTTCATTTTTATATGTGGAAGTTGTATTAATAAAAAGAGGTTTACAAAAGTGAATCAGCTGTCCGTGAAAGAAGGACAAATGTATAGTTTTTACTAGTCAGCCCAAAAAATTCAATTATTGAAAACTATATGAAATTTGGTTGGTCGTTCAATAAGATATGGTTGACNAAAATAATTAGGATCTAAACTAAAATAATAAATAAAGCGAATCTAGTGAGTCTCCCAATCCAACCTTACCTACGGTCTGTCCTTGCTAAGAGCATTAAACACTCACTCTCTTTATTTATTATTATTAATAATAATAATCTCCAGATCAAACCCAGACATTTTTTTATTTTTTTCATTATTTATTCAAACAAAAACAATCACACCCAAACCCTAGATCCAACTCTTCATCAATGGCTCTATCCAAAGCTCGCTACCGCGACGTGCTCGACTCCATGTACTCCATGCTGGCGCTAGTCTTCGTCCTCGTTGCCTGTGTCGAGCTTTGCGACGCCGCCACCGTCGTCGACGTCTACCGTCTTATTCAGTATGATATTTCCGGCGTTCCCTTCGGATCTCGTTTGGCCACTCTCAACCACCACGCCGGTTCTCTTCATTTCTCGCCCGGCACGGATCTGTCTCGGACCGTCGTCATGATCCCGGTCCGTGGATTGAATATCACCTTTGTCAGAGGTAATTGTCGGCTTTTGAAGTTTGTCAGTAGTCTATAAGATTGGGAAGTGTTGATTTTTTGTGTTTTGAAAAATTTGTTGCAGAGTTTATTTCTCAGAAGAAGACGCTTGGAGGATTGTTGTTTTTGCTTCCTGAGATGTTTGGAATTGAAAATGGAGATGGTGGAGGTACTAGAGATGATGTTAATGCAAAGGGGTTAATAAAGAATCTTTTGGAGGAACTTGAACGGTTACTTATACATTTCAAAATGCCTGTGAGTAACTTATATTAATTTCAATTTCTTTTACCTGAGTCCTGAAATGTATTAGTCAACTTTTGTACTTCTACTTTTGACTATAGCTATAGCAATAGCAGGACTGGTAGTAGTGTTAGAATCTGAAGTTGCATAATTTCCAAGAACTTTCATCCAAATCTTAGTAATGATCGTGATGCTTGTAAGCTTGTTTTAATATTGAAATTATCTTGTTAATATTGCCCTTTGCTTAAACTATATCTAATTTTTTCTGTGGCTATTTCCTGACTAGAAGTCCAGAAAATGTTATAGTGGTATATCTGTACTGTTATTTTATTTATTATGTACTTTTTTGTGTGTGTTTTTCTTCTTGCCTTTTCATGTTTTATAGATTTTCTTTTGTTCCTTTTTCTTAGGACGTCAGTTTTGTAAGTCCACACCTTAATGCTAGAATGTTTCAATACAGTATCCAGTGTATTTTGCGTTCGAGAATGATGAAATTGAAGCCGTGTTGGATGATGTCAAGAAGAATGATGCCACTGGTCAATCTGCCACTGCAACTACAGGAGGGTCAGTTGATAATTTTGTGATAAATTTTGGAATACTAATGAATTTTTTTATATCCTCTGGACAGTTAATGCTAGAGTAAAATATGGTTTTTTTTTTCTTTTTTATATGTGGAAGTTGTATTAATGAAAAGAGGTTTACAAAAGGGAATCAGCTGTCTGTGAAAGAAGGACAAATGTATAGTTTTTACTAGTCAGCCCAAAAAATTCAATTATTGAAAACTATATCAAATTTGGTTGGTCGTTCGATAAGATATGGTTGACATTCTCCATAGAAATTTGGGGTTTTTTGACCATCCTTGCAATTTGCATCTTCCAAATATCTTCTGTTGAATTTTTCTCTATCTGAGTAGTGGGTTCAGAGATATATGACTTCATTCTCTCTAATTTCTATATTGAGATATATGTCTGAAAAACATATAAGAAGATACAAAAGATACACATAATTTGCTTACCTAAATTTTAATGAACTCTATTTTGTTTCATTATGGCGAAGGAACATAATTTTTCCTTGTGTGCCATAGGATGGATTCATCTAGCTTAATTTTTTACCTTTTTATATTCAAGGGAGTGAAAATGCCTAAATGCTCTTTGTTCTGATATCCTTTTCATAATATAGGCATTTTATCAATTCAAATAGCAAAATTTTTCCCTTTTTGCCCATCAAAGCATTCTTGTCATGAATAATATTTCCTTGATAAAGGGAGTAGTTATTACTCTTTTTCCTTTAGTGTTGGGTTACACTTCGAAGAATTTCACATATTTAACTAATTGTTAATATTGCATGCCATTTTTTTCTTGACATTTGATGGTTGCTTTACATATATTTAACTTTGAGACTTTGAGCCATGTCTATAATGATGGACTTGTGTATTCTTAATTTATTCTGCTGCTGACATTGATAAGGGATTGGTGTTATCTGTTCATTTTCCATATCTGATTTCATCTATGCTTCTGGATATTGCAGATACAAGCTTGTTGTCCCGACCTCAGAGCCTAGGAAAGTTGCATCTCCCACTATCACAAACATTCAGGTGTGAAGACAACTTTTCTCTTTTATGGGGAATGGCTAAAGTAATGTGGAAGTGATATGCTGCATAGTAGAATACTATTTTATTGATACCCTTAAATCCCGATGGGATCCTAGAATTTAAAATACTAAACTGTTTTTATTTTCCTTTGTGAAACAAGATGGAAAATGGAGTTCCTTTTAATAGTAAAGAAATAAGTATACCTAGCTGGGGGAACAAAATGATTCTTACCCCTCAAAGGTGCATTTCAATGTGTGCACTCGAAACAGTGAATTCGCTTCACTTGAGATTGTAGAAACATTTGTATATCTTTATATAATCCCTGGCTTTGACAATTTATTGCATATGGTTGGGACACACAATGTGAAATCTGATGAACTGAGAATGTGACACAAGCCTTATATCTAGATGATAGTCATAGCAGCCTTTAGCTTTTGATTGGCACTTTTCTTTTGTATCAAAGACAGTTGTCATTAATTCAAGCTCATCAATTGTTGTCATTTAGTGTACACCTAATCTAGAAAACTTGTTTTTTGGTTCCTGAGCTTGCATATCATGGTAATGGCGCTTGCTTCTGAAGAACTTGTTGTAAATTGAGTTTTTTTTTTTTTTGGGGGAGTGTGCAGGGATGGTTGCAAGGACTGAAAGCTGATGGAGATTCGAATCAACTGCCAACCATTGCCATAGTAGCTTCATATGATACATTTGGGGCTGCTCCTGTATGTAATCCTATTAAGTATCATTGATGAAATCGATCTGTGTGACCCATATGATTGTTTCATGATAACTTACTCTTGCAGGCGTTATCTGTGGGAAGTGATAGCAATGGAAGCGGTGTTGTGGCACTTCTTGAAATAGCTAGGTTATTCTCTCTTCTCTATTCAAACCCTAAGACTAGAGGAAGGTACAATATACTCTTTGGGCTGACGTCTGGTGGACCATATAATTACAATGGGACTCATAAGGTGCTTAGTTCTCTTGCTTTATTAAATTAATTTGAGATTGTTTTTACTCTTTAAGTTTTTCTTTATAATTGATTGCTATTCTCTTTTCTTCTTGATGTTTAACTTTTCTTTGTGTCTCCCTTTGCAGTGGCTTAGAAGTTTTGATCAGCGATTGCGTGAGAGTATTGACTATGCTATCTGCTTAAATAGTATTGGTTCATGGAATAATGAATTATATATTCACGTGTCTAAGCCTCCAGAAAATGCCTACATAAAGCAAATTTTTGAAGTAAGCTACTAGCATATCACAGAATAAATTGGTCTTTTTTTTTGGCTTGTGGAGCTGTTTTTGATTATCTGATGGATTGGGTGTGTAGGGTTTCACTAATGTAGCTGAAGAGTTGGATTTCAAAGTTGGTTTGAAGCACAAGAAAATAAATATATCAAATCCTCGAGTAAGTAGATATACATGAATGATTGCACTATATCTATGTCAACGTAAAAATTTTAATTTTTTTTTAATTATTCTACGATGCTGGTTAGAAAAAAACTGAAATGGGAGAAAATGATGCTTAAACATTTATTATTTTAATTTCAATAGATGTTTCATGACATTCTTTTTCCCCTCTCTTCTCTCTCCCTGTATTATTATTATTTTCTATAGAGACACTTCTATGTATTCATGATTGTCCCCTTAGAAAACATTTTGCTTGTAAACCTTCAAGTTCTAAGTTTTGTTAATCACAATTTCTAGACTGTTTTTTTTTCTTGGCACTGGTTAAGTGTGTAAAAGAACTTTCAAAATTTTCCTTTTATAGACACTGGCTGCTTTTGATTTTTCTTATTTCTGCTGTTCAATCTGCAAACAGTGGGAAATTTGAGTTGAATGCTAACTTTATCGTCTCTCTGTCTCCCCTTCATCTCCACCTTTTTCTAGTTAGACCTTGACCTTTTCTATATTTTCCATATTATACTTATTGGCTGAGGTGATAAAGCTGCTGTCTGCTGTAGGTAGCTTGGGAGCATGAACAGTTTTCAAGGCTGAGAGTTACTGCTGCTACCCTTTCTGAGCTCTCGGCTGCACCGGAGCTTTTGGAAAGCACTGGCGGCTTATTGGATAGCAGGTCTTGTTTTTGTAAATTTACATTATTATATTGACAGTTTCTATTTTAGATTGCTGTTTGCTGAGAGCTCGAATTTCACCAGGCATTTTGTTAATGAAGCTTCAATTATCAGAAGTGTCAAGTTAGTTGCTGAGAGTCTTGCGGTAAGTTGATGTAAAGTTGGATCATTTTGATGCTTGTATCTGATTTTACCTATATATTTAGTTCTGCTGGTTCGGATTTATGAAAATGAATAGAAAGTTTATCAATTCTTCAGAACCTGAAAACCTTATAAGAGAGATTTATTTTGAAGTCTACCTATTTGTATCTTGTTCTCATTGAAGGAGTTTGAATAATGTGATTGCTAGTATTATAGTGTATCGTCAATGTAAATGACAATGGTTTAAAAGCCATTAATTGCTCAAGTTGCATTTAATTATGAGGGAGAGGGATAGCAGTCTTGTATGGTATCTCCATGAAATTTGGGACATAAGTGGGATACCAGAATTTTCAATTGTTTAATTACTTTATTATTATTATTATTATTTTCCTTGTCACCTTGGTTTGATTATACCAATACAGAATATTCAAGAATAATTCTTTTAATTTTTTGAAAAAATTGAGTATCTAACCATGTTTAATTGAGCACCAATACATCCTCTCAAACTTTAAATAACACAGGTGAAGTTACTGATTTTTGTTGGATGTGCTTTCTGGTTGTGCATGGAGGAATATATTGCCTGTGTCTGCGATTATGAGCCTTTAACATGATGAATAAATTAAAAAGGAAAGGGGGCAATACCAGCAAGTTGGTTGGAAAATTCATAATAAAAATTGAGTCCATTATTCCTATTATAAAATAAAGTGCTAGCTGAGCTATTGCAGGGTCAATTTATTAAGCTTCCAGGTCCTTATTGTGCAATTTATAGTTGAGCCTCTCTCTCTTTTTCTTTTTGTAATAAAATTGCATGAAAATGATTTGACATTGTGATGTTTGGACATAATGCTGAATTTCTTTGTTATTCTGCTGTAGAAATGAAAAATGTAAGTAGTTACTTGAATACAATCTAAGTTATTTGAGATGGCACTTTGTTATGTCAGCAAGGTTAAGAAAACATCTAGATTTTTTTTTGTTTTCTGGAAAATAAAATTTATCTGAATTCATTAATTTATTTTAATATGAACTCTCATGAGCTGGTGCAACTCAGTTTACTGTTATTTTTTTTTTATAGGAATTGTCTCTTAATTTTCTTTTATGAGCATATATAGTTGATTGCCATTAACTTCCTTCAAAGGCACATAAATTTCTCATTGTCTTACATGTAAGATTTGAATTTATGACATTAGCTTTATGTTTCTGACAGTCTTTTTTGTTCTTGTGTAGAGGCATATTTATGGTTTCCAGGGAAAGAATATTAAAATTTTTGCGGACAATAGTAGTTTGGCTGTCAATCCTTCTTACATTAGGTCCTGGTTGGATCTGGTATCACGAACACCTCGAGTGGCACCGTTTCTCTCAAAGAATGACCCATTTGTCTTGGCACTGCAAAAGGTTCGATTTTTTCACCCTTTATTTTCCTTTATGCTCTCTGTTTCTTGGTTTATTTCTCATGATTATCAGCTGGAATTCATTAAAAATAGCATAATGTATTTTTATTATTTTCTGTTTTCATGTTTTCCCTATAGATTAGATGATCAGGGATTATATTTAATTTTAACTATGTTATGTAATTTTCCTTGCTGAAGACATCAATCTTTTGATTTCAACAAGTGGATGACATTTCATTTCATTGATATTATTTTTAGGGCATATCTGTATTCTCTCTATTGGCTCTATCTTAAGAACCTGTTGGAATTCTATTGCAGTTTTCCTTCTAAAACAAGTTTGATTTTGTTTCTAAATGAGTGATAATAGAAGCCCACGTTTGTAATCATAAAATAGGGATTTGAGATGTCTTTGGTCTAGTGGCATGTAGTACTATGGTTCACAAAAATTTCTTAAGCCAATACATAGATTGATGAAGCCTGTGGAGTTGTGTTTGTTTTTAAGTCCATGGGTCAAAACAGGGGAAGAATATTTAGAGAAGGAAAGAACACAAAATAATTAGTTTCACTAATCATTGTAAGCACTCGGATTCAGTCTTGACACCAGACACTTTATTCAAAATGCTGAAAGGTTAGACGAAATACAAAGAACTTTTCCAGGACCCTGCTTCTGCATGGTCAACACTAGATAATAACCTTTTCATAAGCTTATTATATCCATTTTTTTATCTGTCGGCAGGAATTGGCAGAATATACCAATGAGGTGAATGTGCAACATGAGGTGCTTGATGGGATTTTCACTTTCTATGATTCCACTAAATCTAGGCTCAATATATATCAGGTACTTTTTTTGTTATGTGCTGCTGGATACTATGGTCTTAAAATATGCCATCTCTCTTTTCTCTCTTAAACACATAGTACACACGTGGAACGTTCTATGTACATACAGACCCTTTCAGAAATGGGTGAGGGAGAATTTAAGGAAGCTTTTCCTTAGTTGAATACCTAATACTACACTTGATAACCTGTTTTCTTAAGTTAGCTCGGTTAATGATTATGATATTATGATTCTCCTTTTTTCCCTACATACCACTTTTATGGTTAAATATTTTTATTACTATTCTTGGACATAATTCTCCTTATGATTTCTCCCCCACCATTTTGAAGGCCAAATTCTCAACATGGAAATGAGAGTCAGATTTAATACATACATATGCTTAATATTTCTTATTCAATGGCTTCAATTCAAGGCAATCACTTCAAATGTGTTTTACAGGTCGCCAGTGTTACATTTGACTTGCTGTTGCTTTTGGTGTTGGGATCGTATTTGATAGTGCTGTTCAGTTTTCTTGTCATCACAACTAGGGTATTCCCTTTTCTCAATATGAGCATGACATTCTGAATGTCTGTCTTATCTTGTATTTTTCCTTTTATAATTCTTGAACACATATATCAGAAATTTTAAAATTCTAAAATACTAAAAATTGCTATTCAACAGGGTCTTGATGATCTAATCAGTTTATTTCGACGACCCCCCTCACGTAAGGTAAAAACAGCATGATCGCTGAAGCAGGATGATTCACCAAATGCTTGTAACTTTGTGGGGAAGATTGTCTTGTAACCTAGTAGGAATTCTCCTGAGAGAAAGTTAGCGGATGATGTCCACCGAAGTGTTGGTTTAGTTCATTGACAGAGGGATAGTTTTAACTATCATCCTAGGAAGATGTCTGTAATTTGTTGTGCCAAAATGAGAAATCAGGATTGGAAAAATTTTGTTGGGATTCAACTTTCAACCAAATATTATTTGCCAGCAATTTTTTTTTCTTTATAGAATATAACATGCGATTGTGTCTGAGTTGGATATCATAGCTTCTGCTTGGCTAGTCAAATAGATTTTCAGTGAAAGATGTTTTGATTTAAGGTCTGACCGAAAGTATATTATTGTATATAGAAAATGTCTGGTTTAGCAAAATGCATTAATCGTTGTAGAAATTGTTTAAGTTAAACAATGATACGTTAAGTTTAAGTTGTTCTAAAATTATCAGCAATCCTCTATTTTCCCCCTTGAACCTTTACATACGGTATAATATATTTGATATCATTGTCTAATCTATTTTGCAGCTTTTCTAGCAGTATTCATCATATGTGCTCAATTCTGAGGCTGTTCCTTTCTGTATATATTGCTTCTTGCATGTCAAGATAACCCTATTACATCAAAAAGGAAATTGAAATGATTTAACCATTTGCGAGTAGTATTTTAGGAAGAAAATAATGGTAGCAATGTCAATCCTCTGTGGTTCCTCTCCGCCCTGGCCTTGTGGGTTCCACCTTGTCCACAAAAATTGCACGTCCCTCCAGTATCTGCAAGTAATTCATTACGTTGTCCTCAAAAATGCTGTCTCAACTTTAAATCAAAACCCGGTTGCCAAATTAGTAGCCACACAGTTTAACATCTCAATTTTCTGTACATAGCATTATTGTTTTAGTTTTGGGCATGCAAATCTGCAGAAATTATGCAATTTTACCTTTCCATTCATGTTTGACAAAGCCTTTTTGGCTTCATCCACTGCATTGAAGGTCACATATCCATAACCTTTTGATCTGTTTGAAGTTTTATTTACTATTATTTTAGCTGGCCAAAGTAAAACAAGTTGATGTTAAGACAAAAATTAATAAGCAAACAAGTGCTGAAGAACACAAGTAAAGCATACCCTCAACAACTTGGCCAAATTGTGAAAAAGCTTCAGCTAATGTGTCTTCTGTGGTTGAGAAAGATAATCCTGCAAAAGAGGCCATTGTGATAGAAACAGCATAAATGTCAATAAGATGGTAAACACTTCTATAGTTGAAAATGGTAGTCAATGTAGATTGGAAAATCCTGCAGTCAGGTGAAATAAAATCTTTAAAGAATAAACTAAAAATAAACATTTAAGGTATTTTGAAAAAGGGGAATTATACTAATTTCCCCACATTTTCAATATCAAAATGCTAGATTAGCAAATAACTTGTGAAATTGGTGACAAGTTCAAAGCAGACAATTCTTAGATTAGACTGGGAAAAATTGATAAGAGTAAACTTATCAAAACCAGAAATCNGAAATAAAATCTTTAAAGAATAAACTAAAAATAAACATTTAAGGTATTTTGAAAAAGGGGAATTATACTAATTTCCCCACATTTTCAATATCAAAATGCTAGATTAGCAAATAACTTGTGAAATTGGTGACAAGTTCAAAGCAGACAATTCTTAGATTAGACTGGGAAAAATTGATAAGAGTAAACTTATCAAAACCAGAAATCTGATAAGAGTTTATACTTGGGAACATTGATACTTCAGAAAAAAAAAAAAAAACATTGATCACATGCAGCCAAAATAGAATTGACGCCACAACAGTAATCATTTTTTGTATCATAAGGAATCTCATTATTAAGATGTTGCCTATATTGAGACTCAATTCTCCTCAAACATTCTTGTCAAAATAACATACTACTTAATGTTCTGATGAACATAACTCACAACTTAAGCGACCAATAATCTGATTGGCCAGAAGGAAAAGAATTCATTCAAACTATGGAGAGAAATGAACCTAGGTTCTGTAGTAACATCACCTAAATCCTTCAACACCAAATCAAACAGTGCTTTAGGACAACTAGAAACTAATAATATTCAAGCAAAACGTATGATCAGCCAATCAGGGCCTTGTCCTCTACTCTATTTTGGGGACCAGGATATCGCTTCTATTTAGGTTGCCAAGCATAAAGACACTGAACTGGTTTCTAACGTCTGGAATGAAGCAGAAATATAAGCAACTCCCTTCACCCAAAATTTTGACTCATCTTCTATCTTTGGGCATCCAAAATTATTCATTAACTCTGAAAATTTTGAGCTGAAAACTTATTAACTTGTCAAATTTCTATTAAATTACAATACTTTCAGTTTTTTTTTAAAAAAAAAAAAATAAATAAATTTTACTCTGAGACTCAAGGGAGGTAAAAATTTGGGGACTGAACGGGTATATTTTAATTTAACCAAGATTTATACAGGCTACAGTACAACTTTCCTCAATTATAAATGGCATCTTATTGACTGATATCTGTTCACTACATTTATTATTATTATCATAATACATCCAAGTTGCTTCTAATAAAATGAAGGTGGAGTCACATCAGTCAACTCTCCTCATATTCTTCAACAACAGAATAAACAAGAAACACTCTCTTTGTTTTTCTCTTCTATTTCTTACCTTCTCATAACGTTCTACTTTATCATAACATGTAATACCACCTTTATGTAGAAAAAAGATACACATGTCTTCCTTCTCCTATTGTTCTACTCTCACAATTTAAAATTCCAACAGTCAAACTTTGATTATCAACAATATGTGGGCATGTCAAATATAATCTTTTATTTCCTTCTTTTTTTTATCATGGCACTATACTCCGATAGTTTTCCCTACTAGCAATGACAAGCTACACACTTTGGTTCCAATCTACCTATACAAATATTTTCATTTCCCCAGAAACAATATTCTTTTTTTTCAGGCTTCAACTCATTGCCAAAAGTGAATCTTGTCGATCTTACATTTATTTGACATCAAACCAACAACAGATTCAATCTCCGTTTTATGGCCATTTGAATCAAACAAATACCTTCCCTTAGATACAAGACAACAAGTTAAAGATAACGCTTGAGAACACATGATTACAAAAATGAAAAAGTAAAATTAAAATGAAAAAAAAATTAAATTTATAAAGAGTAAAGATTTCCATAAACTATGAAATATTTTCAAGACCCTTGTAACTGACTATATCAGTTCAAAACAGTTATTCGAGCTTTGACACAAATATATTTCACACCAATCTTGGTCACTCAACACAATATCAATACTTGACAAACAACTGAAAAAGTAATTGTTAACTTATCAAATCCTAAAGAAATCAACCCTGAACCTCAGTTTTATAAGCCTAATAAACCTTTATGAATGCATTTTTGTTTGCTAAGTAAAGGAAGCAACATCACAAAGACAAACAGTGTCGTAATACATGTAAGTGCATGAATAAACATATATAAATAGAGCGAAAGAGAAGAGAATAATACCTTTTACAAATAGCTTAGAAGTGATTCCTCTACAAAATACCAGTTGGGGTGCTGAATGATTAGACTTAGAACGAGAGATGTATCTGAAAATGGTCGCCGACATTTGAAAGAACCTAGTTGGGTTGTGGAAGTAAAGGCTTATTTTATGGGCTCATTAATTAACACCAAAACAGCAAAACTTGATGGTAGGAACTAGGAAGGGAGTATAAGACTGTAAGTGGCTCATTGAAGAATGGAGCAAGTTGTCAATTTCTTTATGTTGAAGGGGGTGTATAAAATAACCCTAACGGAGCCTTAACCAAAAGTTCAAAGAGACGAGGGTATTTGCGTTAACCTAATAATTTTTGTATGCACCTGTGAAATATTGAAAGAGTACTGTTGCACCTACAACTTCTTCTCACAGTTTCAACATGACATCTATCAATTGATCTACTGTAATTTATCAAATAGGATCTATTGTGAACTAACTCATTATAAACTGTCACGCCAAAGTTGTAAGAAAAAATTTATGAAAAATGTTGTAAATGTAGCATTTTCCATATTAAAATCTTAATGAAGGTTGTAAATTGTGTTTAACAAGTATCATTTTAAATATGGAGATGGAGCATTAATAGCTTACTTTACATGTATCAATGGTGCACCATCATTCACACTACCGTTTTAAGGTGGAGTTGAATGTGTCCCTATTTCATTTCAATAGCGTATAGAGTACGTCTATAAGAAGGAACTTGCAAAAATTCATCAGACTCTTAAAGATAATAACAAGTGTTGGGAGTTAGCAGAAAACTTCGCTGTCACTGATGCAGTGTTTTGAACTTCTTGGGTATGTAGAGAGATCGATCGCAGGGGGATGAAGTGAGTTTTTGTTTGCTCATCAAGGCAATGATCCGAGGGTGATTGAGTCCACAAGGTAATTCATTATAACTTCATTAGTTCCATTAAGCATAGGTGGATTCAGAGCGTTAAAAAGAAAAAGTTGAGATTCACTCTGGAAAAGCCTTCGGTGAAATGTCTCTTGTGGGAAAACTTTCTCACTGGAAAAGAATCCCCTGAGTTTGAATTTTTACTATCAGTAGGAGCTTGAATGGCTGATTGCACCGCAAACTGAACATTTAGGTGGGAGACTTTCATAAACAATTTCTACAAGAAATCCATGATTAAAGAAGAAGACAGGAACAGGATACGTGACAAATCAAATTCAACAACGCCCCTGGCACAATTGCCGAAGGCTTTAACTCTGGCAGCAATATGAATATGTCATGACTTCATTTCCTGTGATTGTGAATAATATGCTATCTGAAAGAACATGTTACAGGTTATTTGACAATTATTACAACATAACATTTTACTTGCAACATTTGGAAATAAAACATATTATCAATTTGTAATATAAGACTTGATAATTATAATATCAGCAGAAAAACTTGGTATATTAATTAAACAATTGAATATAAAAACATACAATTAAGTTTAACTTGTTTAATGTGATAATAATTGTTATTAACAATCTAAATTATAATCAAGTTTAAACAATACAAGGAAAGTAGACTTCGGGATCGTGAAATTGATGATAGATCCAGATTGCAAACCTAGAAGTACATCGGTGTAATAGAATCAAAGGGCATATGCAATTCATCATAAACCCAAAAATGATAATAACCAAGGAGCCATATTTCACATGTTTACTGAATAAAAAACAAGAGCAATTTATATACCAACATCAACATTTACTCCATCAAAACCAATGAGACAGTGCAAAATGCTATACAGATTGGGTCTTACACACTTGTAGAGAGCTACACAATGAACAAAAATTCCAGCAACTACTACATTGTAATGCTGCTTTCAACTGGTCAAGAATGATGTGCATTCAGCAGTGCTCGATAGAACATGTCCATGAATTGATTGTCCTATCACACATATAATGCCAGTCAGATCAAACCAAAACAATAACCGGAAAAAGCATCAGAAAAGATAAATCAACCCTAATTTTTATCCAGTCTATTATTTATTGGTTCTTATTATTATCATTTATTTATTTATTTATTCTGTTGTCAAAAGGATCATTATCATTCTCTTTTCTAGTTTTATGTTTAAATTATTATTAATTCTATAATTATAGCCAAGGAATGAAGGGTGAGGGTGTTTTAGTCTTCTTACAGAAGATTCTAAGTAAATTAACATATTTTACTAACTCGGATTATTTTGCTAGTATTTTAAAAGATTGTCCTTCACAGTCAGTGGACAACAAAAACTGAAATGGCATTTTTTTTATTCTACCCATCACTATACTCAGGCGATATGTGTGAAAAATATTTTAGAGGATTGTCCCAATTCCTATAAATAGTTTCTCATAATCTCCAAGCAACATAAGCACGTGAGAGCTGTAACACTCAATTCAAACATTTCACCATCACCACAAGAACTGACCTGAACAAGTGCTAGAAGTGCATCTCGGACTTTGTCTTTGCTGATAACTGCTCCATAGTTTGGAGTAAGAACAGGAGTAAGAGATGGTGGCGGAGGAGTTGGTGGTGGAAAAGGTTGAAGCAATGGGGCACCATATGGACGTTGCAGACTTGAGGGAGGATTCAGAGGTGGAGCTGTGGGTATAGATGAAGAGACAGAGGGGATCATCCTGGCAGAAGCAGGAGGAGGAACAAAGAATGATGACGGCTTCACAAGATTAGCGATCCGGTTGCTGCTGCTGCTGGATTCAGGGTCAAGTAGCGGCATTAAGGGCACAGATGCGGACAGAGAAGGTGAGGGTATTTGCAAGGTTGGCACAACAGGAGAGGCAACAGTGGCTGGATTGGAAGGTGGAGGTACTGTTGTAGAAGACTGGTAAGGTTGGGTAGCAATTGTTGCATTTGAAGCATTCCCGATATTCATTGCTGTCTGCAATATTATGTAATTAAAATAATCAGATTTGATTATGGAGGAAACTTCAAATGTAGAAGAGAAAAATAAGTTGATAATCTACTGTTAACATGTGAACAATAAGAACATCATTTAATGAATAATTTGTATGCTTTTCCAAAGAAGCAAAAAGTGGGATTCGTGATAAATTAACAATTCTTTACCACAAATATCCAGCAGATATTGGATTTGCAAGACAACATCATACGATATCATCTTTATATATTAAAATACAAGTTCCTTTTCAGAATTCATTCCTTTGTAATAAATGCTAAGCATTTGTTAGGGCTGTGCCAAAAACCTGTAACCTGGTACCCGACCCGTAACCAAACCAAAAAAACCTGGTACCCAGAAATTCAGTTTGGTTTAGGGTAGTTATAAATAGATACTTGAATTGATTTTGAAAGAATCCGAGTACCCGAACCATAACGGTTTTCATTTTTTTATTTTTTCTCTCCCCCTTTTCCCTTTTCTTTCTCTTTTCTCTCAACATTTCATTATAAAGCTAGATCTACAACAACACCTTCTCTCCTCTTCTTTCCCATTCATTATCTTTCTTTTTTTTTCTTTCATTCTCATCTCTTCTCTTTTCTTTTCCTTCCCCTTCCTTTTTCTTATTCTTTTCCTTTCTCTCTACATCAACAACTGCCTTCCTATCCTCTAATCTTCTAGCTTGTGGCTGGAGGTAGTTGGCTTGGCGGCGTTGCCGCTTCAGCCTCGACCTGGGCTGGTGGTGTTTCTGCTTCCAGCCGCCAGCCCGTCCCTTCCGTTATACATTTGCATTTTTGTTTATACTTACAGAAGCAAACGTTAAGATTTAAATTTTCTATTTTGTGGGTTTGCGTTTGTTAAGTGTTTATTGGATTTGAATTGGGAACTTTCAGTAGATATGAAAATTTTAAGAAGAGGAAATTCCAATAGAGACGATAAATTTAAGAGAAAGAATTTGAGGAAAATTGAAGTAGAGATGAGAAATTTAAGAGAAAGAATTTGAGGAAAACTGAAGTAGAGATGAGAAATTTAAGAGAGAATTTGAGGAAATTTGTAGTAGAGATGAGAAATCTAAAAAAAAGAATTTGAGGAAATTTACAGAGATGAGAAACTTAAAGAGAAATAATTTGGTATATACACGGAGTTGGGGATTTGAAAGAACAGTGGAAGAGGCTTTTTTAAGAAAATTTAATAAGATAATCAAATGAAGGGGAAATTTGGTTCAAAATTTGGGTACTTGGTAACCCAACCGAGAATTTGTTTCAGTTCAAAACCAAGTAATTCTAACACCGGTTCGGTTACTGGGTACCCTTAGAGCCTGACCTGAATATTTGATTCAGGTCACCCAAATGCAAAAAACCGGTTCAGGTACCCGGTTTTGCACACCCCTAGATTAAAGCCATTTGTTATGTCTTCAACAAATATGAACTATTATATTCTTTCCAATTTTGCATGCATATCTATTCAAAAGGTTATCATTACACATTACAGAGACAATTTAACAACATAATTTTAGAGAGGCACACATCAGAAGTTGAAATACCAAAGAAGGTAAATTGAGAATAACAGAAAATGCTTTGTGAAAGTGTCTCTAACAATCTACTAGGAAGATGCTGGTTGGTTAAGAAATCTTAGAAAATTAAATTTTCATTTCTTCATATCCTGTCCTGATTAAGAATACCTAATCAAATCCTAAAAGTTTCCATTGTTTCCATTTTATTACATACAGGATACCATTGCTGCAGTGGATGTCAAGTATAAATGCCATAATCCTATCTCTTGATCATCTTAGAGGAGAACATACAAAGAAATCTATAAGCAATATATTGACAAGATGGATGCCTCACGATCTTATTGAAATACACAGTATGATAATATTGCATCATATCATAATTCTAACATTTACACAACATATAGGCACAACCAAAATGGATGCCTCACGATCTTATTGAAATACAAGGAACATGGTATTAAAAAGAAAACGTACACTGAAGAAGTTCACAAAGGCAGGATCATCAGGGGCATCAGCAGCATTGGATACAGTTGATGATGATGGCTCCAGAGGACCATCCATTACGGCCATAGTTGGAACAGCTTCCAGTTCCTCAAACTCACTGCATTCATAAGAAATAGGAACTTTTTATAGCTTCTATTTTGACCACAACTAAATAATATAAAATGTTAATAGGAATGTAATACATTGATTTTAATTAAAAGGGCTATAACCCTAGGTGAATATGAAGAGGTAAAAAATAAAAATCAAAGCTGATTTTAACATTGCAATCCAAGTAAAAGTCATAGTGGCAAATTACAAGTGCATCCAACTAATTAAAAGCTGTAATTGATAAAGCAGATACTTTGCTGCTAGATATCACCTAGATGACGCGCTCTAAAATTCACAAGAAAATAATTCCAAGAGGATTTAAAAGAATACTTTATAAGAGAATAATACAGAAAGCTTCTGAAGAAATTATGCTTTCCCAATAACAAGACTTCGTCAAGATAAATTGGATCAATCATTACCTTTTAGTAGATGATACCATTGACTTTTGAGGCACCTTGACATATGCATTGAGAATTCTGTATTTAGGAAAAAATAAAAAAATATCAGGTTGAAATCATTGAAAATATTTAATATTCACAATTATAATCGACTAATAACAATTTTACTAGTGAAAAGTAAAAAGTAAACAGATAACAAATGCAATATACTTGAGTCAAGAGAACATTTCCCACAAATGGTATCCAGGGGTCCTATTATTAAAAGTCACGATGAACTAAACTATAACGCACTCTCCAAACCTATTGCAACTATTACAAATATAACACAATAAATTACATCAATGAACTCCTAAGCTCTAACAAAAATACGCTGTTGTCATTTCCATATATGATGAAATAATACCAGTATTATTATGTTTCCTAGCGGGTATTATTATTATTTTATAGGAAACATAGAGGTATTGTGCCAAAACAATGAAAGAAAGTAAAAAGGTGGACCAGTGGTCCACTATTCAGGTGTTTCTCCTGACAGAGGGTCAAAGAGGTACACAAAACACTCCCAAATGTGTGAATATAATCTACAATATGGCACTGTAGAAATCTAACAGCGATACATCCATCAAAAAAACCGAACAGAATCATAGCAATACACGTTCCCAATTTATGGAAAATAAAGAATAAAGATGCATCCTGAAAATCCTTTGAAACTAAAGCCAAAGAGATTCAAAATTTTGACTTTGGGGGACAGCACACTAACTTCTTTCCCTCTCTTACTTAAATAGTTTCATTGTTTCCTTCTTCCCACTTATGCTACATGCATTACTGCACAAAATGAGAACTAGATTGGAGTACATAATGGGAATGATTAGAAAACATGCAATTATACGTCATCAGCAGCTAGATTTCCACCAAGAGCAATTTTATAGCATTTTAACTGCCCAAAGAATCCATTATGGATAACCTATAAACCATATTATCAATAGCAATCTGATCCTGCTCAACACAATAGGTCCCAGAAAAGAACATTCACAATAAAATCCATATGTAAGTAATATTTCCTCCAAATTCTACATTATCAGCTGCTACACTTCCCACCAAGAGATTTTGTTGCCTTGGATTCCCCAAAGACTTATTTACATGGAGCATGCTAACAATAACCATTTAATCTTGAATGATACAATAAGTCTTGCAAAAGAACATTCACTAGTAAATTTATTTACAAGTCATATGTGATGAACAAATTAGATATCTACTGCACCTTCTTATCAAGGATTGAGTGTATAGCATGGTCAACCATCTAGTTCCTGTAGCCCTCCTGGTACCTATTTTAGAGTTACATTTTACATTAAAAGCCACAAATTTAAATGATCATGGTCTCGTAAAGAAATTTTTATTAAAATTTACACTTCAAAATTTCTCTTTTCAGCTCATTGTCCTATCAACTGTTACCCATAAAGAACTATAACTAGATTCATCTTCCCATTAAAACTTTAATTGAGTACAAACAAGATGAGTAGGTAAGGGCTGAAACCAGAAGATAATGTATACAAGGAGCAGGATCGGCAAAGTGAAAATCTTATAACATAAGAAAAAAAAAGAAGTAGATTTTAACGCAACAGCAAGTTCTATAAAACTAAAAATCCCATTATCTCAAAGTGTGTTTTCATACAGCTCTACAAAACAATATTTTCTACTTTAACTCGCTACCAACAAACTCAAATATAACATTTTATTAAAATATATGTCAAGAGAACAATATAAATGGTCATCCTAACTGATTTGCAAACCAAGGATCTATACATGTTATGAATTTTTCAATATTAATGCTACATTTACGAAGTGGGGATCCCAACTGATGTGGTTATTGATGTGGCAATACCACATTGACTGTAGGATGATGAGATAAGTGATGTTCCTTTCCTATAATTAATGTGATGTTGTCACAAACAATCACATCAGTTGGGATCCTTACTTCCTAATTCCTATACATAGCAACAAAAATTTTACGAATATAAAACCTAACAATTCTGCTTGAAAGCCATACTCATAGGCCAAAGCAATGTATTTATCCTTTGCAAGTCAATACAAAACAATCACATTCCTCGAAGTGGTATATTTTTTCAGATACATACAACCAACAGAATATTTCTATGGTGTTGAAGCAGATTAAAAAAACTCTATAGAAGTGAATATGAGACATAATTGAACTTTTAAAAAGATGCTAGCATACTATGTATGGAATTTTTCTGGCCTGCAGTTCATCAAATAAATTGAAAGTTCTGTGAACTACTCTCCTTGGTCACATGTTCATGAGGCCTATGGCAAATTCACAATCCAACTCAACAACATGGAGTGACCATAATCTATAAGTTGAAACTCCATTCCCCATGTAAAGCAAATTTGGTTGAGAACATACATAGTATTGTCTACAGTATTAAATATCAACCCGAGAAAAATTTAACAACATTAACTATCAACATGAGAAAATATTTTAAAATTGCAGATAAATAACTATCATAGTAAAACAACTAATACCTGTTAAAGAGATTTGCAACCTCTTCACATTCACGTGCATTGTAGAACCAAATACCATTTACTTCTTGAGATGCATTTCGATACAATAAATATGGGACCTGGACTTCATACTCAAAATCTCCCAGGAGATTTTCCACCAAATTATCTGCTTAAACCAATATATTGAAGCCTATTAGTACAAACATATTTATATACAGATGTGAAGGCTATTAAAAAAGACATCACTATGGCAACATTATAAGATATAGCTCTGAACATTAATAACCAAAAATGCTTAAAATGATGATAATTACATAAAGCAATCATAGTTCAGATTATATGGTATCCAAATAACACATTCAACGCCCACTCTTTCTGGTTATCATGAGATGGCAAGTAACTGACTTACAGACAGAGAGACCACTAGATGAAAGAATAATCTTCAAATAAGAGAAAGAACACAAAATTAAAAACCCTCATCAACCCAGTACAACCTTGATATTGTCACATCAAAACTTCAAGATAACAGTTGTCCCAGACTATTGTAAAATAGAAAAGCCTATATATCATTGGCAAACTAATATTGCCATTGGTCCATCCTCTTCTTAGTTTTAAAACCCTTACTTAAGCTATAGAACTATGATAAAATAACATCATAGAATAAGAATTGCCAAATTAATCAACTAATCCCAAAAACTAGTAAAACAGAAGATTAAACAGTGAAAACAAAAACCAACCTGTATTGCGTCGATTCATCACAACAAACTGAAACCGAGGTTGCGTATTCCTGACATCAATCACAAAAACTCTTAAAGACCCAGATTACAAATAAAATCTTAACACTACCCGTGTAACAAAAAGAAAAACGATTCCCAATTACAACAAACACCCGATTAAAAAGCAAAATCCAAAGAGAGAATTCTCACCTTTTGACAACAAAAAGAGATCCTTCAACATCCTTGCGACTCTAAAAACACACAAACAAAACAATCAGCCAAAGCTTTTGATTAAAAAAATAAAAAAATAATAATAAATGAATAAAGCGAAGGGCACCCATTGGCTGAGGTCAATGTTGAACTCGTAGAAGGTGACATGAGCAGCGGTGATGAGAATTTCTTCAATGAAAGGGTCGATTCGCTGAAGAACAGTGAGATTAAGGAGTTTGGTGCTTTGTTGGTCAAGATTAGGCATCAATTTGCCGTTTTGAGACATTTTAATGTCGTTTTAGGCTCTAACCGAACCCTAGAGTTTCAAAGTGAAAGAAAGAGAGAGACAAAGACAAGTAATGTGAACAGTACGGATCGAGACTCGAAATTGATCTACTTTTTCACTTGTTTAGTTGTTTAAAACTTCACCTTCTTCAAAACCCGAATCTATCTTGTTAATTAAGATTAAGAACAACAATATTTACCGAAATGACCTTCAACCATTATCTTATAGTGTAAACCGACATGTTTCCACCCAAAGATTAGCGCAATGGCAAGTTTTCACCATCGTTTTATTGGGTAATGCTATAGACACCGAATTTGTGCACTAAAATTTGTTATCGAATGACGCGACATCCACTAAGACACGGCCACGTTGGACAAAAAATACTGATTCTGTGAATGGACAGTCGTCCATCTTACACGGACGGTTGTCCATATGTTATGGACGACCGTTCATCACGAATAAACAATCATCCACGACAATATCAATGAACTCTCATCCATATAATATGGACAGGTGTCCATTTACTATAGACAGGTGTCCATTTACTATAGACAGGTGTCCATATAAGATGGGCACCCGTACAGAAAAGTTTAGGGTGCGTTTGGTTTATTATTTCCTACCTTACCCTAAACCCAATTTTCAGAGTAATGTTTGGTTTATTATCCAGACAATAGAATCCTGACAGTTTTTTGACTATTGAAGACAGAGTTTATAGTGCTGTCTGCTTTTATTTCACTTTCTCTTTTCACTAGTTCACTGCTTCACCATCATCACAAACCACTTCCTACCCTTCCAACAAATTGTTCTCCAACACAATCTTCCACCTGCAAATACAAAACCAACACACCGCACATTGTCCAAACGACCTTTCACCTGAATCAAAAAACAACCCCACAGCACCACCCAATCAATCTTCCACCATCATCAAAACAGAAACACACCGCCACCACCCATCATCATCTTCCACCATCATCGCATTACTAGCCCACCGCTACCACCCATCACCATCTGCCGCCATCATCACAACACAAACTCATCGTCACAAACCATCATCCACTGCCACCATCATCACAAAAGAAAACCATCCAAGAAGGCCCACCGCCACCACCCATCATCATCTGCCGCCATCATCACAACACAAACCCATCATCCACTGCCACCATCATCACAAACCATCCACGAAGACCCACTGTCGTCGCCGATCTGCCACGAAAAAGTCCCATCGTCGCCGATCTGACTTCAGTGAATACCGTCGTCGCCGATCTGCCATGATCCGAAGTCCATCGTCACAAACCATCCACGAAGCACCCTCCGTTGTCGCCGATCTACCACGAAGAAGCCCCATTTGTCTTTCCTTCACGTTTCTGATTGTTTGTTCCATTTGTTTTGCAGACTGAGAAAGCCTTTTTGAAGCAGCCCAAGGTGTTTTTGAGGTAATTTCTTTTGCAGGTTTGTCAATCTATTGTAGAATAGTAGATTAATTGTTATGGTAATGTCGACAAATGGATTGTAGAAAAGTATTTTTCTTTTGGTAACTTGTGTTGATGTTTTGCAGGTCGAAGAAATCAGGGAAGGGAAAGAGACCCGGAAAGGAGGGAATCGATTTTGGAAGCACATTGGGTTGGGTTTCAAGACACCTAGAGACGCAATTGAAGGTTTCATTTTATTTTATTTTATTTTTTGCTTTGTGTTAGAAGTATATTTTCCTTTAATTGTTCCTTTTATTTGGACTTTAATGTGGCGTTTTATAATTGGTCGAGTCTAAAGTGATTTCTGCACATGATATACTTGGATCTGGTGGATTAGTTTGTGGGGGTTAACGGTTAGAGCATTTGTATGTTGCTTAGAGTGTTCAGCACTTGCGTCAAAAAATTGTGCAGCTTCATATGTAACATGTTGTATGTAATGGATGAATTCTGGGAGTAAAAAATTGTTGGATTATTGGAAATATTTTTTGGGATTTCTCTAACTGATATATTTGTTTTGCAGATTCGGCATTGTTATTTGATCGTAAGAACAAATTACGATCATATGCACAGATGTCAATATAATTTGTCCCGACGTCACAGGATTGATTACTACTTGCAGCAGAGGCGAAAATCTCGACGTTTTTCCAGACTTGGAGTTTGTCATACACCATATTGGTCAACATTGCTTGTATCTTCCCCTGCATTGACGTCTTCAAGCAGTGTAAGATCGAACAAGGTAACGGTTTATCTGTGTTTACTTTATTACGTTTAAATGTGTGTATGTGTGTTTGTAATGTGTTTTGTGATTGGTATGGTGTCCCAATCTTGGTTGTCATTCTCACCGTATTGTCCTTAGACGAGTGATACTGTGAACTGGTCCACTGAGATGACCCACAAATTTTGATCCTGTTGTCTGAGCGGGCGAAAACTTCGCAAGGTATTTCAATAAAAACAGCAGATTACTAGGAAATGTTGGATGACTTATCATCATTGGTTGGGAGGAGACTCAACGTGACACAACTAACCTCTAAGTACTTTCGCCTACGAAAAGTATATCAAGCATGGCGGAAATTGCTGCAACACACGGGCTTCGAGTGGGATCATGAATCGCAAAGTGCAACGTGTCCCGTAAAGGTTTGGCAAGAATATGTCAAGGTAAATTTTTAACTTTTTTAACTAATATTAATCAACGACATCGTATTTGTACGCAATTTTTTTTTTGGGACTGCCAAATATTAATATATTATTATTTTGCATTACCAGCAAAATTCACAGGCGCAACAATTCTACCACAAGGGACTTTCTCACAAGAAGCTTTATGAAATCATGTTTGAGAAGCAAACTGTCACTGGGAGATATGCGTACACATCTACATCTCAACTGGTAGAGACCTTCACTTATTCCAATCAGGGCGCGGTTGACATTGATGATAGCGACTTTGAACTTGATCCAGATCAGACGACAGGGGAAAAACGGGCAAACACATCTGGCCATGGAAGACCTAGAAATAGGAGGAACAGAAGCGATTGGGGACAAGCACTTGTGGATGTCATTGGTAGATTGACGGACGTGCTTGTGGAGAGGCGGAGTATGAGATCGAGGGCTAGCAATCGCAGTGGAGATGAAGGGGACGAAGAGAACACCAGTGGTCCATCTGATCCGTTTTCCATGAGCAATTGTATTGACATCTTGACGGTCATACAAGTACCCACAGAGTTTTACATGTCGGTTGTCAAGTACTTATATCAAAATCCAGGGTGGCGAAGGTATTCGTGAAACTCCCGCCCGAAGAAAAGGCTAATTGGATTTATAATGACTTTCGCAATTTGTAGATGACACTGTATGTCCTAAGTGTTTGCCAACAATTTTGTATGCGCCAGTGGGCACTTGTCCTTTTATGGCTAAACCAAATTTCTGTTCAACACCTTGATTTGAAAATGTCCCCAAATGTCTGCTACTGTATGAACTTATTCATTGTGTTATTGTTTTATGTGAGATTACATGTTTCATATGAGTTTTGGATTGTCATTAGAATTAAATATTGATTGTTATATTTTGCTAAGCAGTACAACCACCGTTAATTGTTGATCAATGTTTTGTAAATGTACAGGTTTAAATGGCGTCGTCTAGCTGTACAGAAAGAAGACGACAGAATGCAGATGAGGAAGAAGAAATACTGACAGATATAACCATTGCACTTTACGGTGTTGCCGCGTTAGAAACAGCTGGGCTTCAACTATGACATACATCCATATTAACTGGTCATGAGTACATGTTGGAAGTACTCAATGGTCATGCTAACAGGATCTTTGAAAAGTGCTGCATGAACAAAGACTGTTTTGCATACTTATGTTACATTTTGGCACAACAAGGGAAATTGCTACTAACTAGGAGGACAAGTATGGAAGAACAAATTATGATATTTCTGACAATCGTTGGTAAAAACGAGACAATCAGAACGATGATGGAGGATTTCCAACATTCGGGTGAGACGATCTCTAAATATGTTGGCGTAGTTTGCGAGGCGATATGTGAGTTGAAGACAGAGTTTATCAGACCACTTGACTTCAGTGATGTTCCATGTGAAATATCAACCTCCAAAAATATTACCCTTTCTTTAAGGTACTTCTTCATTATGTTTTCTATTAGTAAATAGTTAAGTTCATTGTGTTATTAATGTTGATAGTCAGTTAATATGACTAAAATTCAATTTTGATGATATGACTATATTGGAGCCATTGATGGCACACATGTATACGCTTCAATTCCACAGGAATTTGGCGATAGGTACCAGAATCGCAAAGGAACATTGTCACAGAATGTAATAGTTGTATGTGACTTTAGGATAATGTTCACTTATGTCGTTACTAGATGGGAAGGATCTGCGCATGATTCAATAGTTTTAAATTCAATTCTTGATGATCCTAATTCTGGATTCCCACATCCTCCACCAGGTATAAGTATTTTCTTGACGTATTATAGCATATTTACTCCACTGTTGAGGCCCTAAATTTTCAAATAACATGTGTGATTCTATTACAAGGAAATACTATTTGGTTGATGCGGGTTATCCAAATAAAAAGGGGTTCCTCGCCCCCCATAGGCGAGTGGCTTACCATATTTCTGATTACCGCCGTAACCGAAGGGGGTCACAAGAGTTGTTTAACTACAGACATGCTTCACTCCGCAATATTGTCGAGAGAACCTTTGGTGTTTTAAAAAGACGGTTTCGTATTCTGAATGGAATGAACAATTACCTGTTGGACAAACAAGGGAAGATTGTTATGACATGTTGTGTACTTCATAATTTTATCAAAATGTACAATATGGAGGACCCTATCCTCTAACGGTATGCTGAAAATATGGGTAATGAGCAAGTATTTTGTGATCACCAAAACGGGACAGAAGATGGCGTAAATGGAGAAGGATTGAGTCAACCGCAGCAAAGTATTATAAACAACATGACGACTGTACGAGATAACATAACGACTGAACTGTGGGCAGCACATATGACCATGTCGTAGTTGTTAATAGAGTATACGTGTAACAACGATTCTAAGGGTTGATAATCAGTACCTTTGTCATATATGTATTAATGTGGTGTTTTTAAACAGTTGGATTAGTACTTGAAATTAATATGAGGGGTTTTTTTTTTTTAATATTTACTGATTACGAAATTACCAATAAAATGTTTAATATTTTTAAAACGTAAATTGATAAGTTTTAAGGTTATAATAATACATTATTTTAACAAAATGCACCAAAATATTATATTAATAAATCATTTATAAAAAAATATATCAATCAAATATTCAACACAAATAACAAGGTCAAAATACTCAACCAAACACATTTTATTTAAATCATATTCTCGTAATAATAACCCTACTCAACTATCCAATATTATTTTCAAAATCCTATCCAAAACAACAAACCAAACGGACCCTTAAAAACTAATAATGGATGGGCATCCATATACAATGGATAGCCGTCCGTGTAAGATGGACGGCTGTCCATACCCAAATTCGAGTTTAATAAAAAAAATTCTTTAAAACATTATACATTGTGAATACTTTTTATCCATCTCTCTTGCTTTGCATTTTTTTTTATAAATGAAAAAAAAATTATTTGGTTATGGACACCAATCCATCTCATTTGGATGGTCGTCCATTATATATGGACGACCATCCTCATTAGATGGACTAGCGTCCATGCTTTTTACTTTAAAAATCATTTTTTTTTTCCTTTATTTCATCTAAAAGTTTTGTGCTTTAAAAATGAATATTTCATCTAAAAATTTTGACTTAGACAAGCGATAGTTTTTTATAAATGAAAAAGAAATTGTAAATTAAAAAAAAAAAATTATTTGAGATGGACGGTTGTCCATTTATGATGAACGGTCGTCCATAGTAAAGGGACTTTCGTCCATGATATATGGACGGGAGTTCATTGATATTTCCTAGACTTTCGTCCATTTATGATGAACGGTCGTCCACAAGACATGGACTGGCGTCCATAATTGTTGGACGGTCGTTCATTCATTGAATACCTGTGTTGTGTCCTACGTGGCCACATCCGAGTCAAATGTCAAATAGATCGGTGCAAAATTTCGGTACCAACATTCGGTGTCCATAGCATTTTTGCGTTTTATTTATTCCAAATTCCCACCCTTAAATTAACAAAAATCATTTAATATAACGGTTAAGGGGATATTTAGGTATTTTTATTTCCAAAAATAATAAACCCTATCCATCTCAAAATTTTCTGCAAAGCAACCCTTCCTCACCGCCTCCAACTCCACCAATACCGCCACCACCAACACCAACACTAATAACTTTAATCAACAACACGAATACACTTCGAAATCCCAACAAACTGCATTCAATCAACTTCTCCAATCAAATCTCAATCGAAAAAACAGAGCTTGTCACGTGAAGGCGTGCGAGATGCGTTCGGCGACGGTTGGGCAGGGAGATTGACTAGGGGTGCAAGAGGATGGGAGTGGGAGGTGTGGGGAAAGGAGGCACAACAGCCTTCTCCATGTATTGTTCGCGAATGGGTTTTGCGGCGACAAAGGAAAGATGGGGAGCAGGTTTTGGGTAGGGTTGTTGCGAGAGATCTTCAAAAGTCACCGACGGTGATGGGAGTAGCAAAGGAAGTACGATGGTGTGTCAATGAGGCGGGAGTGGTGAAGGAACTTCAAAATGGGTTGTTCTTCACTTATGGTTGCTTTGATTTGATTTTTGGAGTTGTTTGAGTGTAGTTTGTTTGGCTATTGATTGGAGTTGATTTGTTGAATTTTGAGAGATTAGATTGTTGAAAAAACGGCCATTTTCCACTAACCCACCGATGCCCACCATTTGTTTGTAGAAAAACGACAACCAACGGTGGCTAGGTGGCAACAGTGGCAATGGAGATCAAGAAGGGGAGATGATGATGAAGAAGAAGAAGAAGAAGAATAAGAAGAAGGAGGAGGAGGAAGGGTAGTTTGGTAAACCCTACATATATGGAGTACACTGACTCTGTTACTTTAAGGGGGGAATCTGGAATAAATAAAACTAGCTGTGGAAACTTTCCTTTTCGCCAATCTTTGGGTGGGAACATGTCGTTTACTCTTATCTTATATCAGATGTACACCTTTATTCTTTATTTGACTGAAAAATCAAATTAATTTCAATTGGGTTTAACTCACTTTAATTACACACCAAAATATTTCATCAATTACAACCCACATAAAAACATAATTTCTAAGAAATACCTCCATCCAATCTTTTTATATATATATATATATATATAGATAAAGATTAAGAAAGTATAAAAATAAATAGATAAGATTTATTTAAACATTTAAAAATGTTAGTAAGGTAAACTTTGGAATGAAGTTTATTAAATTAAATTACTGACCAATAGCATCGCTCTAAACATATTACGTGTAATGTTACAAGAATTATCAACCTATCCCTTTCTTGAAGACAAATGTTCCTAATCAAGTTCAAGACACCATTTCTAAATTCTAAAGAACACTTAATAATACAATTGCCTAAAAGTGAGGAGGGACAAAGATAAGCAGAACTTTTCTTGTTATAAATAAAAAGAATGGAAAAGTGTGCTCTTAGGAATAATCATATGAATATGAAATTCTCCTTTTATAATAATAAATCTCCCTAAAATTAATATACGAAATAAAATTCATCCAACTACTGAATTGAATGATAATTGTTATATCATTCTTGATTCTGACACTAGCTATATAGGTTTGCACAATAAATTTACCAGAGAGTTCACTCATTGATGCACACAGGATTTGAGTAAAAGAAAAATGAGATTGTTGGTAGAATTTTCTTATTAAAACATTTTTATACTATGACGGTTATGCCACGCATTAGTCCTATTTTGTTTATCTTAAAGTACTATAATAAAAAGGTTCTTGACAGTGTCCTCTTTAAATGGTAAAACGTAAGCAGCTACAATGTCACCAACATGGTTTTCCTACATTTTCAATCTGCGTTTTGCTCTACCCCACCAGCTTATTCAGTTGCTTTGCCTTTTCTTCTGCTGCTACTCCCAGTTTCTAGCAGGTAACACACCATAGAATCGACGTCATCACCAAATATGCTGTAGGCTTCTATTACTTGCAAATAGCTGAACCCCATGGATAGTACCATCTGCATACCGCTGCTCAGGACTGTATCTTGTATATTGCTCTCTCTCCCACCGTCTACTTTGCTCTCACTACATGATGACCCTGCATGGAAGGTAACCAATCATCAACGGTGTAATGAGATGGTATAGGTACTGATTAACTATAATACAATGGATAAAAATAAAGTAATCCGGATCGAGATCCAATATCTCCTGTACAATACTCCTCCCCAACATGATAGAATGCCCATCTAGCAAATAGTTAAGTTTTAATTTGCTAGCAGAAAAAACAACTGATTCTTAAATGCATATTAGCCATAAGAAAATCTAAACACCTTCCTAAAACGTATAATGGGGATAAACAGAAAGACAAGTTTTCCTCTAGTTGTCATCACTTGCATGCACTAATTGTGAAAGAAATTGCATAATTGAAGAATATACTCACGAGCCCCAGAGGATGAAGGTTCAGCCCCTGAAGTAGACGAATCTTTACGGGCAAGTTGCTGCTTGAATTTGTCATTAGCAAGATACTCAGCTCGAGAAACTTCCATCACCATACACTCAATTTCCTTTTCAGTAAGCTCCAGATCAGAGTAAAACCGCCCCTCAGCTAGAAGTGCCTGTTAATGTGAAGTATACAGAATCCTGTTAATAAAAAAATAACTTTTAAGGTGCGTTTGATTCAATATTTCTACCCATATTCCCAATCCTATTCCCCAAATATTGTTTGGCACATTATTCCAAAAATATTAGTGTATTTTTTTTTAATTACTTTTAGACCCCTTAAGTTTATTAATTTCACTAAATACCCCCGAAAAAAAAGTTTAAAAATTAGCAAAAACACACCCACCCACCCATAGTTGCCAGATTCCGGCAACCACCATCGGTGGCAGCCAGAATCTGTCCCTACGGCTTACACCACGACCGGAATTGGTCGGTTATTCACCTATCTGCCCTTTTCCAGCCAAATCCACAGTGGATCTGACTGGAAAATGCCAGATTTGACCGTCAACGACGACCAAAGAAATGGCCGTCGTTGATGGTCAACGACGGCCAAATCTTTGGCCGTCGCTGACAACCAAAGATGGACCTTTGCGATCGTAGATCTGACCTTTTCCAGCCAGATCCGTGATGGATCTGGCCAAAAAAGGCCAGATCGACGCGCTACGACACAGATCCAACGGGCCTGTGTCGTAACGCAATTTTCCGGCCAGATTCCGACGGTGATGGCCGGGATCTGGCACTGCGGGTGGTGAGGGTGTTTTTGTCATTTTATATATTGGGGTGTTTAATTAAATTAGTAAACCTAGGGGTTTCTTTATAAATTTTTAAATTTTACCTCGTAATACTACCCTATTCAACTACCCAATATTATTCCCAAAATCTTATCTAAAATAATGAACCAAACGCATCCTTAAATATTTAAATTCGATTGTTTTGCATGATACTATAGAAAAAGACACTTGCATTATCAATCTGTTGGTCTTGTTGAGCCTTGATGGCAGCCTTGACTTGATCTTTGTCAACATTTGTCTGCATAAAAACAACCACGATAGTGTCAGATAACATGAAGCTTTTTGCTATTCAAAATCATTAAAAACCATCTACTCAGTTAAAATACCATTATCAACAAACCCAAAGAAACAGTCAGCAAATTCTCCAACATAGTAGAAATTGACTGGCCAATGTTGACAGTAAGGTTCTCATTCAAGCATTAAAAGAAGGTTCATTTTTGTTCCCAATAATAATTAGGATAAGAAAAGAAAGCTGATCCATTCAAACTACACCCAATGGAGAAACATGATTATGTGCATAATATGCAGGTTATCCCATAAACTTATGAGCACCTGAATTTCTCCTATGGTGAACCTTTCCCCTCCCCATCTCTCACATCTTTACCGTCTATCCTTCATTAAGTAAACCTAATATAGCTGGGTGCTTCTTAAAATTAAGTTTTATCAATATGAAATAAACCTAATCCCATTAGTTGCAAGAAAAAAAATACCAAAAGAAAATGGAGTAAATTATGGAGATAGAAATCCCGGGCAGATAGGCATACCCCTCGAAGACAACTGAACCCAAGTCCTGCACCAATTGTCAAGCGCCGTGGGTCAACAAGGGAGTTGTAGTGATTCCCATGATGATAACTTAACCGTATGGGAGGCGTGTCAGTATTGTAGCTTCCATGAAATATGTTGATGGGTTCTGCAATGACATTTTTTGTAAGAAAGAAAAATAGAAGACAGCAAAACTTCACAAAGGCACGTTTAAAACATTATTCACCATCATTAAAAACAGAACCTGTACTGTAGGAATAAATATGGATAGGCCGATTATACATTTCAGATAATGCTTGAATCTCCACATTGTTTCCATAGACCTGCACCCAGGTCAAAAAGATATACTTTCACCAACCACAATGATACAGGAAATAAAACCTCAGACTGATCCTAGGCCATATTATGAATGGGCTACAACCATTGAAATTCAAAAAACTTGATAGAAGCGAAAGCATAACAAATGCTGAAGTGAGATCAAGCAATAAACTTGCATCTGCATATTTGCAAAAAGATTACAGGGCCTGAACACACAAAAGTAAGAAAGACACATACCTAAGGTGCTAAATTTAAAACAGTAATTTTGTATATTATGCAAGCAAATTAATTTCTACATCCATGTTATGAAACTGACTGGCATAGATTCTGTCAACTGGAGGGCAAAAAGCCTACTACAAAGGCACCCAATATTTAGGAATATCATATAATTATCCCAGGAATCATTTAATAAGGAAATCAGCCAAGAAGTTCTGCAGTTTCTCTGTCCATTGCATAAACATAGCCAGATCCTGCTACTTCAGAAAATATATGACACCTGATCATGAATCCAATTAAAAGTTGGTCTCCCCCAGTCTTTGTAGACCTTAAATTTCAAAATTATTCACTAGAAATTTCTTTAACCTTCCGGATCAAATCATTTACATCTAGGTTGACTGACAGGAGAAGTGAAGGAAAACAGAAACAGAACTATATTTCCCACCTGAACAGAGGACAATTTCTAGGGTTCCCAAAACTTTCTCATTTATAAAGATTTAAAAAAAAAAAATAACAAATTAAAAAAAAAAAA